GCTGTTGGGGTCCTTTTCAGAGTATGCTTGTCTATTTATATATTTTTGTGTCATTTTATTATTTCTGTGAAAATTTCCCCCCAATTAATCATATTGACCTCCTCCCTTTCCTATCTACTCAAGTTTCTAACCTGTGTTTTTCTTTTTCTCTGAAGTACAGTTTGTGCTGCCCTGATGTATTTATAAAAAACATATTCTAGCCTCTTCTGTTTTGTCTTTTGAGAACTCTGTTTAGTTTAACTGCATTGTTTTTCCTAATTGGTGTCTAGAATTTTATTTTTGCTTTTCTTTTAGATCTTTGTATATTCTAGATACTAATCCTCTGTCAACTGTATTGCTGGTGAAGTTTTCCTATTCTTTAGACTACCTCTTCACTCAAATGATAGTGTCCTTTGCTGTATAGAAACCTATTCACGTAGCCCCACTTATTCCTTGTGCTATCCGGATACTGTTCAGAAAATCTTTCCTGTCCCACCTTTCTCCTCTATCACATTTAAGGTATCAGCTCTTATGTTTATGTCATCAATTTGTCATCAGTTTGGAGTTGAGCTTGATGTCATGGAGAAATAACCATCTAGTTTTGTTCTTCTTGTAGCTATCTAGTTTGACAAGCGCCATAAGTTGAAGTTCCTGTCTTTTTTCTTTTATATTTGGTTGTGAGCCTAGCCTTTAAGGGCTGAGCCATCTCTCCATCTCCTGTCTTTTCTAAAACGTGTGTTGTTTCTTTTTTGTCAGAAATCAGATAGCTATAAGAGTGTTGGCTTATATGTAGGTCTTTAATTAAAGTCAGTGATCAATGTGGAATATTGGAACAGAAAAAAAGAACCATTTTATTTATTTATTTATTTATTTATTTATTTATTATTTAATATTACTGTAGCTTTACAGTATAACTTCATGTGTTCTGGGTAGTTTTTCTATTTATTTTCTTTATTTAATAGTTTTAATTGACATTCCAAAGCTGCTCCCCTCCGTATTCCCTATCCCCGAGTTCTTTACCCACTCCCTCCTCCTCCCCACCTTTGTGAAGGTGCTCTTCCACCTGCCCACCAATGCACCCACCTCACTTCACCCTCCTCACCTCACCTCCACCAGCACCCCTCTTCCCTGGGTCATCAAATTTCCTCAAAATTAAGCACATCTTCGCCCTCTAGGACCATACGAGGCAGTCCTCTGTCACACATATACCAGGAGCCATGATCCAGCCTATATATGCTCCTTGGTGTTTGGCTTAGACTTTAGGAGTTCTGAGGCATCTGAGTTAGTTGGCACTGTTGTTCTTCCTATGGAGTTACAATCCCCTTCAGCTCCTTCACTGCTTCAATGCTTCTATATTGATTGACCTCAATCTGATGGTTTGCTGTAAGTATCTGCATTTGTCTCAGTCAGTGGCTGGTACAGGTTCTTACAGGACAGGCATGCCAGGCTCATGTCTGGATGCATAATATGGCTTCATTAATAGTGTCAGTATTTGGTGTGTGCTTGTGAGATGAATCCCAAGTTGGGCCAGTTACTGGGTTTGCTTTCTTTCAGTCTCTGCTCCATTTTTGACATTGTATTTCCTTTAGACAGGAACAATGCTGGGCTAAAAATTTTGAAGATGGGTGAGTGATCCTCTGCCTCAATATGCGATATCTATCTACTGGAGTTGGTCCCTTCAGGTTCCATTTCCTCACTGTTGGGCATTTCATCTAATATTATCCCCATTGAATTTTAGTAGCCTCTCACATCCCAGGTCTCTAGGGCTTTCTAGAGGCTCCTCCTGCCTCCTAACCCCAACTGTTGCACAGTTTGATTCATTCCTCTGTCTCTCTGGGAGTCCCTTCTGTTTCTCCCCATATGTCGGGGGCCAGGAAAATACCTGTCGGGGGCCAGGAAAATATACCCTGGAGCTAAAAACACTTGGCTTGGGCAGCCTGCCCTCTGCCACCGTGAGAACAACAGTCACTTCCTTGTTCTCAGCATGCTTGCACAGAGCTTGTGGCTTACCATGGAGAGTTCAGCTTGTCCCCTTACCCAACCCCTTACTCAAGCCCCTTACCCAAATGTTCCCTTACCCAATTTTAGTTTTCCATTCCCCACCCAACCACAAGTTCCCTAACCCAGTTCCCTAAACCCTTGCCACATGCTCCAAGAGGTCACCCCCTCCTTCCATTCCCCACAGTATATCTTGTAGCAGCTTCCGCAATAAAGTGAGACCTTGACAAGAATCAGCTGGCTCTGTGCCTTCTTTCTCCTTGCTTGGTCTCGCGCCTCTTTCTCCCCTGTTTCTTCCCATTAGGCTAGCCTTCTCCGAAGGACCCTGCGACAAAAGCTGCCCTGCGGGACGGGGCAAGTGGCGCCCGAACAGGGACCAGCTGCCCCGCGGGACGGGGCACCCATACTTGATCCTGCCACTCCTTTTCTTCTTTCTCCTCCCTTCTTTCACACAGTTTTTTCCCTCCCTCTGCCTCCCATGATTATTTGGTTCCACTTTTAAGTGGTTTCAGGTACCCACACTTGGGCTTTCCTTCTTGATAAGCTTCCTAGAGTCTGTGAGTTGTAATCAGAACTTCTTGGCTAATATCCACTTACAGTGAGTACATACCATTCATGTCTTTTTTGGGTCTAGGTTACTTCATTCAGGCAAAGATTTTCTAGTTCCATCCATTTGCCTGCAAAATTAATGATGTCCTTGTTTTTAATAGCTGAATAGTAAGTATTCCATTGTATAAATAAACCACATTTTCTGTATCCATTCCTCGGTTGAGGGACATCTGGACTGTTTTCAGCTTCTGGCTATTAGAATTAAGGCTGCTATGAACATAGTGGAGCACATGTCCTTGTGATGTGGTGGAACACCTTTTGGGTATATTCTCAAGAGTGATATTGCTGGGTCTTCAGGTAGTGTTATTTCCAATTTTGTAAGAAACTACCAGATTGATTTGTGCAGTGATTGTACAAGTTTGTAATCCCACCAACAATGGATCAGTGTTCTCTTTTTCCACATCCTCACCAGTATCTGCTGTCCCCTGAGTTTATGATCTTAGCCATTCTGATTGGTATAAGGGGGAATCTCAAGGTTATTTTGATTTTCATTTTTGTGATGACTAAGGATGTTGAACATTTCTTTAGGTGTTTCTCAGCCATTTGAGATTCCGCAGCTGAGAATTCTTTGTTTAGCTATATACTCCACTTTAAAATTAGGTTATTTCTTCTTTTGGAGTCTAGTTTCTTGAGTTCTTTGTATGTTTTGGATGTTAGCTCTCTATGAGATGTAGGTTTAGTAAAGATCTTTATCCGATCAGTAGGTTGCTGCATTGTCCTATTGACTTTGTCTTTTGCCTTAGAGATGCTTTTCAGTTTCATGAGGTACCATTTGTCAATTGTTGATTTTAGAGCCTGAGCCATTTGTATTCTTTCAGCATGAGAGAAACTAGAGTTATCTTGGAAGATGAATGTTAGTTGTGAAAATGCTGTCATCCCATTGGATGTAGATAAATCTGTGAGACATTTTCTCAATTAATGATTGATGCAACTGGATCATGACCACTCTGGGTGGTACCATCTATGGGTAGGAGGTCCTAGGTTGTATAAAAAGGCAGAGTGAGCAAACCATGAGCTGCAAATCAATAAGCAGCATTCCTCCTTAGTTCTGCTTATATTCCTAGCTACAGTTTCTCCCTTCTCCTTATGATGCTGTATCACTTGAATTGAGAAACAAACATGGTTCTTGCCTCATTGTTTTTGGTCACTGTTTTATCACAAGAGAAACGAGACAAACACAGATAGAATATTCTGTAGACAGTTGTCATAATTTTTTAATCTGTGATATAATTTCATGATGTTTTCTACATTGATTTTTAATTTGGATAGCCTATCTTGAGTCAAAAGTGAGGTATTGAAATCACCCTGTAATATTCTCTCAGAGTCTGTGAATTTTTATGGTCAGTGATACTTGTTTCAATAAACTGGAAGTCATAATTTCACATTTAAAATTTTAGTCTTTTTAAGTCAAATTCTTTGTTACCAATAGCAGTAATTATATGTTGGGTCATTTACTCACAGCATGACAGTTCATTAAAATGATACAAAAAATTCCAGAATAGAAATTTAACTCATATATCATATTTATATAATTACTATAACATATTGAGTACAATAATGTTTTTCCTTCCTTTTTATATCTGGAATTTTGAATACAACAAATTGAAACTCACCTTTTAATGTTATTTACCTATACAATATCTTTTCAAATAAATTTTATGAAGTTTTTTTCCTATTTTTTAAAATGAGATTTTAAGAAGCACTGTACTGAGCTTAGATTGTTTTATAGGTTACCTTAAAATTACTATTTTGCACCTCTTAACATTAAACATTTGTCTGCTTTATTTGTTTTTATTGAGCAATATAGTTGGTTAATTTCTGACTGTTTTTGTTAATTTTAATGTTAAGATTATTAATCTTTTTTATGCAGTATTGATGCAGTTCCCTCATTAATTTACCATTGTATTGGTATGGTTTTGATTTTGTACTCTACATTACTATAAAATGTCATTGTTATTTTGCTAGCATTTTCTGCATTGAAATACACCAGACCTGCACATTCTGCATTTCCTGTTGTTGACCATCTATTCTGTTCTTTATTTATTTCCAGGATTGTGTAAGTAGAGGTAGGAAAGTTGAGTTACTCTCAATGTCAACTGAAAAATCTTATATGTTTTTCTATTGTGTATGATTTCATGTATAGGTATTTTACATGTAGCCTTCTGTGTTTGAAGAATATTTTTTTTTCTATTGCTGTTTGCTGTGTTTTACTGAAAGTTTCTATTTCTGTATCAATACAAATAATCATATTAGGCTTTTGTCCTGGGGTTTATATAATCTTCATTCACTAATTTGCTTATGTTGAGCCATCTTTGCATTTCTACAAGGAATCTTACATGATCTTGTCTCATGTTTGGCTGTAACTCATATGTCCATCATAAGGTCAGTAATTTCTCAACTCATGACTATTTCAGGACCTCAGAAGCTCAGTGCTTAAAATCTGCAGCTTTCTAAAAAAAGAACTGAGTGAAGAAGATGTGGATGCTGTTGTGAGACAAGCTACCTTTCAGAACATGAAATCTAACCCACTAGCAAATTACAATTATATTATGAATAATGAAGTTGGGGTGAGAAGCAATGATGGCTATTTCCTACGCAAAGGTGAGACTCAATGGTTTGTAGTAATGAAGTATATGAACTTTCCCGGAGTCTGTTTCCTCAGAGCAATAAAACTGGGCTTCCAATTCTTTTCTCTAAGTGATAAAAACACTGGGAACTCTGAGAATATGAAAATATTTGAATGGTCAGAGAACCAGAAGTTTCTCAGAAAATCAATAGTAGCTTATTAAGAAAAAAGATAATTTTAGTTATTTAGTAAGTGTGGGTCTCCTTCCTTCTAGCTCATATGTCTCAACTCCTTCAAGGTATATCAGTAATATTGACCTAGCAATGGATATTTTGGAAGAGATGGTTATAAATTATGTTATTTTATTTTGAAGAAAAATCAAACTATTTAAACCAGGCTGGCATCACTGTATGACAATATATGATGTAGCTTAGTATAGCCTGGAATTTGATTTCTTCCTGCCTCTAGCTTGTGTAAGGGCCCAGAGTTCACTGAAGAATGATACCCCAGACTGAAATAGTACACAAAAGCAAAGAGCTTTTTCTACAGAAGTTCAGCATGCTGGGGTCTCCCTTTATCAAGACAGAAACTCCACAGTGAACCCACAGGCCCAATTTAAAGCACATTAAGAAAATTCTGGGGAAGAGTAGGTGGCCTCTATCTTAATTGCTGGCTCTATCTCTAGGGACATTCTAGAACCATTATTAGGGTATAGGGGAGCTGGAAACTGTTGCTGAGGAAGTCTGGAAACTGCTACTGACCCACTGTCCTTGCCTCAGGCCAGGTGGCAGGGCAGATTCTGAGGCCTGGACTTGCCTGGACTTGCCTGGACTTACCCAATCCTTGGAATCAGAGATTTAAGCCTAGTCTCTTAAACTGCCTATTTGAAAACTGTCATGAATTCAGCCTAGCCTGTCTCACTTGCAAGTTTTGTGTAGGTCATGTGGGAACTTGTTACCAGACAGGTATAAGAACAGTAAGTCTGAATGAGCTCAAATCTCAGGAATCACAGAATTGAGAACAGCAGGAATAGAGCCATTCCTTACATGCCTCTGTCTACTCTGGAACAAGTAAATAGGACATCCACTGGGTCAAGTAGTATTAATACCTGGATTTCCCCATGCTAATGAGGTATCTAGATAGTCCCTGAGCATTCAGTCAATGTGTTTTCTTTCCTGGACATTCCTTCTGGCAAAAGACATTCAATACACGGTTTACCCTGAATAAAGTGTATGCATTCACATTCACCATCAAAGAAACCAGTATGAACAAGCAAGACTTGTGTCCTCAATAAAGATCACCTTGAGGTTGGGCAAGGCCTTCATCTTAAAGAGCTGGGCCTAAAACTCACTAGGAAGTCATTCTCTTTTTGAGCTTCTTGTTATTCTCTGCACTCACTTTGAATCAGACTGGGTTCTGCTGGTCCGTGGCTCTTCCTTTCCCTTCTCTGGCTGGTGCTAAGACACCCGGAAGGAATGGTAGACCTGTGGGTGCCTCTCCTTCCCCCCTCCACCATTCCACCCCAGGTTTCTGTCTGTCGTCTGTCTGTCTGTCTGTCTGTCCTTCTTTGTCTTCTTCTTCTTTCTTCTTCTTCTTCTTCTTCTTCTTCTTCTTCTTCTTCTTCTTCTTCTTCTTCTTCTTCTTCTTCCTCTTCCTCTTGTTCTTTTTCTTTTTCTTTTTCTTTTCTTCTTCTTCTTCTTCTCCTTCTTCTTCTTCCTCTTGTTCTTTTTCTTTGTTTTCTTCTTTTTCTTTTTGTTTTCTTCTTCTTCTTCTTCTCCTTCTTCTTCTTCTTCTTCTTCTTCTTCTTCTTCTTCTTCTTCTTCTTCTTCTTCCCCCTTCCCCTCCCTCCTTCCCTCCCTCCCTCCTTCCCTCCCTCCACCTCTCTCTCTCTGAAATTCTGACGGTACTTGGGTTCCCAAAGAGGAGTTCAGGAATTATTGTGGACTCCTGACTTCCCCCTTTTCCCTGCCTTCTCCTGGGAGCTTATTGGCAGAAATTTGGGCACCCATAACTGAGAAGCAGGATAGAATACCACAGATTTTGGATTTTAGACTTGAGCCATGTGGCATGGCTTAGTCCAGAAGAATTTTAATTTTTACTTCTGGTCATTTAATTCAGGATATTATAAAAACAAAAGTCTATATTTGAAGTGCAGGAGTTTAAATTGCTCTTTCCTTGTGTATCATCATCATTCAAAATAATTATACAACAATTCATATAACCTCACAACAATTATAGTAGTGTCTTAAACACACTATCTTCTGTAATTATGTTATCTATCAGTAATTGAGATTATATTTTCATTTTTCTAACAAAATCTGATTCATGCAGCTCAGGTTGGTTTTGAACTTAATATGTGTAACTGAGGATTACCTCCATATCATAGTCCTGCCTCTACTTTCCAAGTGATGGGAACAGAGGCATGAACAACTATATCCAGACATTGTGATCTCATTCTGTAACACTGTAAAGCAGGAATTTAAATGTATCTTGATTACTTTAGGTTATTTGACCCTTATCCTGATGATGATGGACACTGGATTATATAAAAATTTTAAATGTTTTATTAAATTGCTATAGATATTGGTAATTTACAAAAATGTTTCTTTTTTCTCTAATTTAACATTGTTTATACTTCTTATTCTCCAACTAAACTAAAGCTCTTCAATTCTCGTATCAATATTAGTTTGCTATCTATTCTAAATCTAAGAAATATTCTTTGTACAATCAGATGTGACAGCAGAAAAATATCATGTTATTGTTTCCATTTTAAAAGTCTCTTAATGTTGGTTACAAATATTTATCCTGAGTAATCACAGTAATCATAGCTCTGGTGCCCTGTGTGAACTTGACATCATTAACTGAAACTCTTTCGTTCTCATTTTTCACTAAAATAGTTAAATTCACACTGTTGGATTGCATGTTATATATTTCACACTTTTATATTTGGGTAATAAGAATTTGCTTCTTAAAAGTTCCTGTGTTATGACACTTGGCAATTACAATTTTCCTAGTCCTTACATTGTTTTTTAATTTTTTATTACAATTACATCATACCAGGCTTGGTGGTGAATGCATTTAATCCTAGCACTTAGAAGGCAGAGATGGGTAGATCTCTGTGAGTCTGAGGCCAGTCTGGTCTACAGATTAAGTTCCAGGACAGCCAGGGCTACACAGAGGAACCCTGTCTTAACTTCCTCCCCCAAACATTTGTATATATATATGTGTGTGTGTGTGTGTGTGTGTGTGTGTATAACATCATTTTCCTCCTTTCTTTTACTATTTCTAAACTTTGTCATGACTCCTACTTGCAAATTCTCCTGTGTGATCCTGTCACTACCTCTCAAACAAACTGATGGTTTTATTTTGTTTCATATTGAAATACATGTCATATATATATATATATATATATATATATATATATATATATATGTGTGTGTGTGTGTGTGTGTGTGTGTGTGTGTTATGTGTATTTATATTATATATATATATCAATATTTAAGTACAACTCACTCAATTCTATTATTATAGGTTGTATCTATATATAATTTCGCTGAGGTTTGCATTGAATCTGTAAATTGCCTTCAGTACGATGGCAGTTTTTATATATTAATTCTGCCAATCCATGAGCATGGAAGATCTTTCCATCTTATGAGGTGGTCTTCAATTTCTTCAGACACTTGAAGTTCTTGTCATACAGATATTTCACTTGCTTGAGTAGAATGACACCAGCATATTTTATATTGTTTGTGACTATTATGAAGAGTGTCATTTCCCTTATTTCTTTCTCTGCCTGTTTGTCCTTTGAGTAGTGGAAAGCTAATGATTTAATTTTATACTCAGCCACTTTACTGAAGTTGTTTATCAGCTGTAGTAGTTCTCTGGTGGAATTTTTGGGGGTCACTAAAATATACTGTCATATCATCTGAAGACAGTAATATTTTGACTTCTGTTGTAATTTTTATCCATTTGATATCCTTTATTTGTGTAATTGCTCTGGCTGGGACTTCAATGGTATATTGAATAGATAGGGAGAGAGTGGTCAGCCTTGCCTAGTCCCTGATTATAGTGAGATTGCTTCAAGTTTCTATCTATTTAATTTGATTTTTGTCTACTGGTTTGCTGTATATTGTTTTTACTATGTTTAGGTATGAGCCTTGAATTCTTGATCTTCCCAAGACTTTTAACATGAAGGAATGTTGAATTTTGTCAAATGCTTTTTAAGAATCTAATGAAATGATTGTATAATTTTTTTCTTTGAGTTTAGTTATGTAGTGTATCACATTGATTGATTTCAGTACAGTGAACCATTCCTGGATCCCTGAGATGACACCTACTTGATCGTGGTGAATGATCGTTTTGATATGTTCTTGGATTTGGTTTGGGAGATTTTTGAATATTTTTGCATTGATGTTCATAAGGAAAATTGTTGTGAAGTTCTCCTTGTTGGGTCTTTGTGTGGTTAATGTATCAGTGTAACTGTGGCTTCATAGAACGAATTATGTAGTGATTCTTCTGGTTCTAGTTTGTGGAATAGTTTCAAGACTATTAGTATTAGGTCTTCCATGAAGGTCTGAAAGAATTGTGTACTAAACGCATCTGGGCATAGGCTTCGTTTGACTGTCAGACTTTTAATGACTGCTTTTATTTCTTTAGGAGTTATAGGAACTGTTTAAATGGTTTATCTGACCCTCATATATAACTTTCCTATTTGCTATCTTTCTATAAAATTTTCCATTTCATCCAGATTTCCAGTTTTTTTTTTTTTTTGAGTATAGGCTTTTGTAGTAGGATCTGATGATTTTTAAAATTTCCTCAGTTTCTGTTGTATCTTCCTTTTCATTTCTTATTTTGTTCATTAGGATACTGTCTCTGTGCCCTCTGGTTAGACTGGCTAAGGGTTTATCTATCATGTTGATTTTCTCAAAGAACTAGCTCCTGGTTTTGTTGATTCTTTGTATAGTTCTTTTTTGTTCTACTTTGTTGATTTCAGCCCTGAGTTGGATTATTTCCTGCTATCTACTCCTCTTGTGTA